TAGTAGAGACGGGGTTTCACCATGTTGACCAGGATGGTCTCGATCTCTTGACCTCGTGATCCACCCGCCTCGGCCTCCCAAAGTGCTGGGATTACAGGAGTGAGCCACCGCGCCCAGCCCCCGGCTTACCCCTTTTTACAGTGGCCTTCGCACCCTTTTGCGGAGCACCAGCCCGTCCTTAGTCTCTCGGGGAATGAGGCGCCTTCAAAACAGACATGCCCAGCCGCAGTGGCCGCCCGGTGCCAGCTCCACGCCCCAGGGCTTGCAGTGCTGGTAAACAGATAACCCTGGCCCACTGGAGGCAAGTAACGTGTGTCTGCGAAGCCCTCGGAGGCTGGGTATGAGTGGGGGTGTGGTGGAAGAGGTCTCCACCCCAGCCCCAGCTTGCTTACGCCTCGGGGTGGGCGGTGCTCCTGGGGGTAAGCGGGTCAGGAGAGGCTGGAGGAGTGGTCAGAGGCATGAGAGGCCCGATGTACTGAGCTTCCTCTAAGAAACGGACAGAGGGGTGGGCAGGGGCATGGCCCTTCCAGGGACGAGGCTGGCGGCAGAGGGAACAGAGCAGGGCCATGTCAGGGAACTGGGGCCCTGAGCTGGGAGACGTTTCCTGCCAGGAGCCCATCTGTTAAAGGAAGGGCGACCCCGGCAGGGGCAGTGAGAGCAGAGCTGTCACGGAGGGAGGTTCAGACCAGCACAGTGAGCGCAGAGAGAAGACCCAGACGGCCGACTGCCGAAGATCTTATGTATCACCTGTGTTTGCTGGTGATACAGGTGACTGATGGGGCCACAGCCGCCTTCGCTGGAGCTGCCACGGCCTCGCCCTGCTCGGACACATCCCTGCCCCTCCCCCTCCAATCCTCTCCCACCTCCTTTCTACCCCAAGGGGTCACACCGAGTGTCACCGGCCCTTGCGCGGCCAGTGCCCATGTTGCAAGTGTCTGAGCTGTCCTCCAGAATCTTTCTTTTTTCCACGACAAGCACTTCTGCTCCTCCAACCAAACGAGGATGACTGTTCCCAAGCTGCCGTCCCCACCTGGCCACCCTCCTCTGGACAGCCCCCTCCCAGCGGGGATGCCCCACTCTGAGACACCCCCACCCTGCACAGACCCCTCACCCCTTGCTCTGGGCTTTTCTCTAAGGGGTCTGGGGTGCACCCGCTGCACCCGAGGCCGCGTCTCACTGTTGACCACTCCCCACCCTGCCATCTGAGGGGACATGCCCTTCCAGACAGCCATCCACGTCCTGAGCTTGTCACACACCCCGCTGAGTGCCACCCTGACTCAATGCCCAATCCCCCTCCCGGCCGTGCTCCCTTCCTGCTATGGAGTCAGCCGCTCGCCCTGTGGCCTCCCCGAGCGGCCGTGACGGGGTCCACCCGCCCCTCATTCCCTCCAGGGGCAGCCCTTGCCGTTCCTGAGTGTTGTCCATAGGCCCTCAGGGTTGCCTTCCTGATAATGTCACCCAGCATCCCCTGAGCACTCACCCTGTGCCAAATCCTCCATGTTTTCAAGCTCATTCGATCCTCAAAGGAACCCGGAGGGAGGTTCCCGGGTGTTCCCAGAGGCCCCTGGAGGGCCAGCAGCCTGCGCAGGGCCATGCAGCTCGGAAGCGCCAAGGCCAGCTTAGGCTCCGGTGCGCTTCGCCTTTGCGCCAGGCAGCCGGTCCTCCAGAGGCCCTGGCTCCTGCAGGGCAGACAGCGACCCAGCCTTTGCCCCTGATGTGAGGCAGGCTCCTCAGAACGGCTGGGTCAGCCCAAGAGCTGCCAAGGCCCTGGCCAGAGCTGTGATCTTGTGGGACTCACTAGCCAACAGAGGGGCACTCGCTGTGGTGGAGCTCGGCCAAGGGGCAGCCTGGGCAGCCTGTAGGTTAGGGAGAGGCAGGAACAATGACGTGGGACTGGACAGGGTGCTGGGCCACCAAGGTCACACGGCTCCTGGGCTCCATGTGACTCCAGGTCTAAAGGGGCTGCTTCCTGCCATACTCCCCGCCCCCACACCCCACGCCTCTCCAGGGACGTGTCCACCCCTGGCCACCCAAGGCAGTTCCATGGAACTCTGAGACCTGGATAGGTGCCAGCCCTGAGGGATGCTGCCCAGACCCCACTCTGACCAGCACAGCACCCATGAGGGAAGCCGGCAGGAAGCCTCACTCCTCGGGCCCCTTCACCCCATTTAAGAGACACCGATCTCCCTCGGGCCTCCCGGGCCTCCTCCCTCCCAGCACCCACCTCATGGGAAGACACTGGCTTGCTGACGCTTTGCCAGCCAGACCACCAAGCCCTACCTGCTTTGCTCCAGGCTGTAGCCCCAGCCACGTGGATCCCACGTGGGATCCAGTAGGTACCCCTCGAAGAAGCAATGATGCAATCGCTGATTTGGTCTGAGCTAGCGGGGCCAGAACCACAGTGACTGCAGGGGAAGCACCCTTTGATCAAATTGCTTAACTTCCTCCTCACTTCTTTTTTTTTTTTTTTTTTTTTTGAGGTCTTGTTCTGTCGCCCACGCTGAAGTGTAGTGGTGCGATCTTGGCTCATTGCAACATCCGCCCCCCAGGTCCAGATGATTCTCCTGCCTCGGCCTCCCAGATGTGCGCCACCACGCCCGGCTAATTTTTGTATCTTTAGTAGAGACAGTATTTCACCATGTTGGCCAAGCTGGTCTCAAACTCCTGACTGACCTTAGGCGATCCACCTGCCTTCGCCTCCCAGAGTGCTGGGATTATAGGCATGAGCCACCTCACCCGGCCTTCCTCCCCACTTCTAAGGGGCTCCTTTATGTCCCCACCTGGAAATGGGGCTCTTAAGTTCAGACTGCGGGAGACGACACTGATGCTCCAGAGGCCTGGGTGGTCTCCCTGCTCCATCATCATCCCTGCCTTAGGGATGAGCAGAGAGATCTCAGAGAGGTGGGAAACGCACCCAGATGACACAGCAAGCCAGGAAGAGCCCACGGTCTCACCCCACCAGACCACAAGTCCATCCAGGATGCCAGCCTGGACCTTTGCTAAGAGCAAGGGGAACAGGATCCGGAGGCCCTGGCCCCTCGGACTTCCCCCAAGACTTCAGGGAGGAGCCAGCCACTCAGTTTCCCCACCCACCCTCTCACCTCCAGCAACACACTTGCACATACATGCACATGCACAGACATATTCACACGTGTGCATAGGCCCTGGCACGCACACACTCTGCCCTAGTCACAGCAAATCCCCACAAGCCTCTCCCCTGTCCTCCAGTTTGATGGGGCCCAGAGGAGCCCCCAGCCTGGGAGTCCAGTCCTGGAAACAGGACCCAGACAAAAGGAACAGGACATGCCCAGCCCCTTCCTGCCGTCCAGGTCGGGGTCAGGCTTGGAGTAGCTGCGTGAGTGCCAGGGAGGCCAGGGCAAGGCTTGCTGTTGCTGGAGAGGCTCCGGGGCCACAGGAGAGAGAGGGGGCTGGGGAGGACTGGGGGCTTCTGGGTCAGCTGCATGAGGCTGAGGATGGTGGCCCCCCAGCCCGGAAGCCCCTGGGTGTGCCTGGCTGGGGCAGTCACTCTGCGCCTCCTTGGCAGAAAGTGGAGAGAGCTCCTGGCGGGTTCAAGGGGTGGGAAGTAGCAGTGCCAGGGCCACTTCTGCTCCCCCAGACCAGGGTCACACGAGGAACCCTGACGTGGCACTTGGGGCAGATGGCTCCCCAGGGTGCCCCAAAGTTGTGGCTCTTCTCATCAGGGGAACCGCGGGCAAGGCCTCCCCTCCCTGGCCTGAACAGTACTGCGTTCCCGGCCGCCTCCTGGGAGGCAGCTGCAAAGGGCTCTCTGCACCTTGGGTGGGTCCCTGGAACGGCTGCACTCACCACAGCAAGGAGACCCCCCGAACTCAGGCCGAGAGGAGGGCGAGCCAAGCTGAAGCCTACCTTGGCCGAGCCTTGGCCCCGGAGGGTCAGTGGGGCCAGGTGGAGGTGGCCCGCGGCTGGCTCCTGGCTCCCGCAGGCGGGCGGTGGCAGCAGCGTCCCGGTTGCCTAGGTGATGACATTGGAGCTACTGGCCTGGAGCTGCAGGGCAGCTGGGGGCGGAGCCTGGCCTGGAGCCCTGGGGCTGGACTTGGTCCTGGGACCAGCACCTGCCGCTGCCCACCGGCAAGCACGCGCAGCCTGGGCCCCTGTTCCGCCCCCCTCCTCAGGGCGACCACAGGGCCGAGCTCAGGGCAGCCAGGACAGGGCTGTCTCCACCCAGCTTTGCACTCGTTTCTACTCCTTGTTGTGGACATTTCCAAGCACTCTCAGAACTACAGAGAACGGCCCAGGAGCCCATCTGCCCGTCCCCAGCGCATGTTACCCTGACCTCCGGCTTTTGCTTTCTGGGGCATTACACAGCAAATTCCACACAGGAGACCACTCATCTGTACTCCGCCAGCATGTGCTTCTAGTGGGTAAGAACCTGTCTTTTAAAACATTAGGTCAAACCATGAAATTGCTGATGATCAACTGCTTCGGTCGTACCGACAACACACACGCTCGCTCGCAGCGAGTTCAGGTAATTCAACGTTACATGCAACTGTAATGTCAAATTCTGAATCTCTAATGCTGGTCAGAGAATTCTGAGGGGCCCTGTCCCCAGTTTTGGAGAGAGGCACACTGCCACTGTGCCTCCTTCCTCCCCGGCCACTGCGGGAGCACAGAGCGGACACGACAAAAGGGACTTGGCCGGCAGGACGGAGGTGAGGCTCTCATGGTGGAAGGATGGTCTGGAGTCTCCGCATGGCCCGACGTAACCACCGTGTCCAACCAAGAGGGAGGAGAAAGGGCAGGGAGGAGAGAAGATGCCACGTTGCTGGCTTAGAAGACGGAGGAGGGGCCAAGAGGTGAGGGACGCGGGTGGCCTCTAAGCCCAGAGGGGGCAAGGAGACAGGTGCCCGAAGGCCCTCCAGAGGGAGCACAGGCAGCCCCGCCATGCCTTCATCTCAGCCCAGCAGACTGACCTCAGGTATCTGAGCTCCAGGACTGAAAGAAGATAAATCTCTATCGCCATAAGCCATTAAGTGTGTGCCATTGGTCACAGCAGCCATAGGCAACAAATGCCACAAAACTCCAGCTTGGCAAACCTCTCCTGCAGGGATGTCCCCGTTTCCTAGGGGCCCCAGAGCAGGCCTAGCACCACATTCCGGCCAAGCAGAAACCCTGGAGGGTAATATGCCTGGCTCACACCTGCAGCCCAGGGATGAGGGTGTGGGGTCTCTTGTTTGCATAGCCCTGAGGGATGCTTGGTGCTTTTCGCCGCTGCCTGGACAGGCAGGGGAGGGCCGCGTCACACACAGCGGGAACACGGCAGCCTGCGTACCTGGGAATGCGGCTCTCAGATCGCTAGCTGCTCCAGGTGAAGTGACAGCTGAGGTTCCCCACTCCTACTGCCTGGGGGACACGCGCTGAATGTAGGTGCACTGCTGTGGAGCGGCGGGTCTGTGTTCAGTATGCGTGTGCACACGTGGGACACGTGCAGCAGGGGACACAGGTGCCATGGACAGCAGGTGCATTTCTGCCTACACACTGCACAGATGTGTATGACGGACACTCACGGCTGCTGGCTCCAGCTGGGGAGGTGGCGCCTCATTGCAGCCGAAAAGCGTACCCACAGTCCATTCTCAAGCGCCCCAATCTGTGTTCCTTGGCTGCAGTGACCTCCTGGCATGCACCCCGCCTCCCCACCCCCCAGTTCATAGGAAACTGAAGGGAAAGGAGAGGCCTGAACCCAGGGAGGCTGGTGCTTGGCTCCTTTCAACATCCTTGTTGGAGACAAAAGGTGGGTGAGTGGCCCAAGGGCCTCGTCCAGTGACGAGGATAACAGCTGGACCCTGGCCCAGCCACAGCCAAGTCTGTTCCCTGGTCTGAAGAACAACTGGCACAGAGTGACGGTGGCCATGAGCTCTGGGGGGCACTCAAGGGGGGTTCAAGGGGAATTTTTGCCCACCTGTGCGCCGTAACATGAGGGTCGAGAAGCTATTCCTAAATTACCCTGCCCTATTTTAAACTCCAGGGTGAGCCCTTGTTTATTTCTTTTTTCTTTCTTTCTTTTCTCTTTTTTTTTGGGATGGAGTCTTGCTCTGTCACCAGGCTGGACTCGGCTCACTACAACCTCCACTTCCCAGGTTCAAGCAATTCTCCTGCCTTAGCCTCCCGAGTAGCTGGGATTACAGGCATGCACCGCCTCGCCCAGCTAATTTTTTTGGCATTTTTAGTACAGACGGGGTTTCACCATGTTGGCCAGGATGGTCTCACTCTCCTGACTTCAGGTGATCCACCCGCCTCAACCTCCCACAGTGCTGGGATCACAGGCGTGAGGCACTCCCCCCACCAGTCCCTTGTTCATTTCTATCAGACAAGAGCTGAGGAAGGGGCAGCACGGACGGGAGCCCTGTCTGTTTTCTGCAGCTGCTGCAACCAGTGACCACACAATTAGAAGCGTAAAATGAGACAAATTACCCTCTTACAGTTCTGTAGGTCGAAGTCCAAGATGGGTTCCCAGGAGCTAAAAGCAAGTTGTGGGCAGGCTGGCTGATTCTGCAGATGCTGGAAGAACACATTCGCCCCTCTTCCCATCTTTGGGAGGCCCTGGGGGAATCCCTACCTCCCTGTCTTTTTCCAGTTCTGGAGGCCCTGGGACAATCCCCACCTCCCCAACCTCCCCATCCGTTCAGGAGGCCACTGGCATTCCTTGGGATGTGACCCCCTCCTCCATCTCTGAAATGCATCCCTCCAGCCTCTGCCTCCATCAGCAGCTCCTTCTCTGGCCCCTCTTGTGGGACCCCCTGATGACACTGGGCCCACCCGGACCTGCCCGATGGTCCCCCATCTCAAGATAACTGAATCCCAGCCCCTGTGCCGTGGGAAATAACATTGGGGTGTGGAGCCCTTTGGGGAGCCACTTTTTTGCCAGCCATAAATGTCCCTCATTGAAAAACATGTTTTCTGAGCCCTCTGTGTGGGGGTCAGTCTAAAAGCGGCCTAGGAGAGACATCTGCTTGGCACTGAGCCGCCTGAGCTCAGATAGGGCACAATCTCCACAGCCAGCACTTACTATTTCCAAGAAGAAGGGCTTCTGGGGCAGCTCCGTTCCTACTCAGGGAGACGCACAGGACAGGCCTCTCTGCAGCCAAAGAGCACCCAAGCCTGCAGCCAAGGTCAGGGACATGCACAGTTGGTGGTGCGTGGTGGGGAGGGAGCCAGCAGAGGGGCCGTGAAAGGCCCCCTGCCCACTCGCTGACCTTCACGATCAGACCCCTTCCTTTCTCCCCACGACTCTTTGGTATCCGCCCGCAGCCTGCCCACGTGACTCGAGGTATTGCCGAGTACAATGGCGGAAGTGAAACTGCTAATATGGCCCCTGGGTCACGCCTCACCCAACACACAGCTTCATTTGCATCAGGCTCCATTTTCAGATTTTACGTACATTAGTCTGGGAGACACAGCAAGACCCTGCC